GAAACCAAACTTAACAGTAAGATGGAAAGTAATGTGGATTTTTTGGTATTTTTCTCCTTTCGAATTGCAAAGTCTTTTATTGTGGGAGCTCCTTTTGTGTGGAATGTGGTTCAGCTGTGCCATTTGCAATATTGGAGCTCCTGTGGCGCAATGGGTTAAGCCCTTGTGCCTGCAGGACTGCTGTCCAACAGGTCAGTGTTCGAATCTGGGGAGAGCGGGTTGAGATCCTTCTGTCAGCTCCAGCTCCCCATGCAGGGACATGAGAGAAGCCTCCCACAAAGATAATAATATAACTTTATTTTTATACCCCGTCTCCATTTCCCCGAAGGGACCCGGGGCGCCTTACATGGGGACAAGCCCAAGAAAACATAAATGGTAAAACATCAAACATCTGGGCATCCCTGGACAACAACCTTGCAGACAACCAATTCTCTCACACCAGAAGCGACTTGCAGTTTCTCAAGTTGCTCCAGACACCAAAAAAAAATTGCAATATTGAATCATACAGTCCATGGTAAATCCGGCACTGGGAATTTTCTGTGGTGCCCCCTTCCGTTGCGGCCCTAAGCAGCAACTCATGTTTCTTAATGGTTAATCCAGCTCTGCCTGAAGTCAAGACAGTATGGCTTCTCAAATAGGTTTCCATGACTGAGCAGGCATTCAAACCTTGGTCACCAGAGTCCAACACTAAAATCATTCACCACAATAGTTCTCTTCAGATGATTAATGTAATGCAATAATTTCTGAGATTAGTGGACTTCTATATTGTGTTTAGATTCTATGCCATTATGCAACTTTTGTTTGATTGTGTTGAGTTTTATTTATTGGCTCTCACATTGTTTTGATTTGTGGGGTTCCTCTAGGATTATTTATGTTGATATTTGTCTGTTTATGGAGGCAATTAATGTTTGCTGTTGTATGTTGGAATCCGCCCTGAGTTCCCCTTAGAGAGATAGGGTGGAATATAAAAAAAAAAAATTATTATTATGATTTACTACATTTGCCAAACAGAAATCTTACACCCATGGGCCAACATACAGTAGGCCCCTCATATTCAATGGGGAAACGTCACAAGACACAGGGATACCAGACACTGGATAAAAGCAAACCCTATTTTGACTATATTTGGGTTGGAAGCATACAATGAAAGCCACTGAAGAGGCCCACAAACATTTCTGAGTGGAGGGAATTCTCTCTCTCTCTCTTTTGGAGCACAAGTAAGCTAAGCCATGGATAGCAAGTCTAAGAGGGTCATGCCGAATGCATACATTCATAATAACCTGTCAACACCCTACACTGTAACACATGTTACTACATCTTTTTGCCATGTGTTCAACTCATATTAGAGCCATGACTTACAGTTAATGGGAGGCCCCTACAAAGGCAGCTTGGTTTCTCTGCATAAGAAAATATGCACCAGAAGCTGTAGCTCAGGCATGGGCAAACTTGGGTCCTCCAGGTGTTCTGGACTTCAACTCCCACCATTCCTAACAGCCTTGGGCCCTTTCCTTTTCCCCCTCAGCCACAGCGGCTGAAGGGGAAAAGGAAAGGACCTGAGGCTATTAGGAATGATGGGAGTTGAAATCCAAAACACCTGGAGGGCCCAAGTTTGCCCATGCCTGCTGTAGCTCCTAAAAACAATTTTGAAGCATAGGGGCATACCACCACCCAAGATTAGAAAACAATTTGACAAATTTCAGAATACTCCAAAACGGCTTTGAGTCTCCTTTATGGAGAAAAAACAAGGGGCATAAATAAACATAAGAATATTTCTATGTGTTCTGGCAACAATGTAATCCCAGGTATAGACAGAGAGTGATTGGATGATACCAAAAGCATGAAACATCAGTTCAATCTGAGTTAGAAAGTACATTTTCCACTACTCAGTGTTTCCTAAGGACTTGGGAAAACTATTTGCCACCTCTCCCTGGGCAAACTTCGGTCCTCCAGGGGTTCTGGACTTCAACTCCCACAATTCCTAACAGCCTAAGACATGGTTGTTTTAACAAGCCTTCGACCTGAGTTAGATGCCTTCAATAAATATGTGAGAACCCATATATTTTACTAAGCACTGTATATGACTAAGATAAACTATTGTTGTTTTATATACGCAGCTATTGCTGTATTTTATTGATTTTAACCAAGGGGTTTTATGAACGGAGATGTTTATGTTGGCTGTTACTGTTTTATATTATTGTTTCTGCATTTTTTTGTATTTTATGTGCTGCACCTTTGAGTGACTTGTAGGCTGCCACAAGTCCTTCTGGGAGATGAAGGCAGGGTATAAAGTTGTATTATTAAGTCCAAAATACCTGGAGGGCTGAAGTTTGCCCATGCCTGCCCTACACACATACAAGAGATGTGTATGTAAAGAACCATACATTTATTTAAAGAGCAAATAAAGTAGCGGAGCATCCCATGGGTGTTCAAAGCTTCTAAGAGTTTTAAAAAATCACTTTAAAAAGTTTAATACAGCATGTATTATAGTTTAATTCAGCCTGTTTAATAGAGATGTTGACAAGCTGGAATGTGTCCAGAGAAGGGTGGCTAAAATGATCAAGAGTCTGGAGAACAAGCCCTATGAGGAGCGGCTTAAAGAGCTGGACATGTTTAGCCTGAAGAAGAGAAGCCTGAGAGGAGACATGACAGTCATGTAAAAATATGTGAGAGAAAGTCACGGGGAGGAGGGAGCGAACTTGTTTTCTGCTGCCCTGGAGTCTAGGACAACGAACAATGGCTTCAAGCTACAAGACAGGAGATTTCATCTGAACATTAGGAAGAACTTCCTGGCTGTGAAAGCTGTTCAGCAGTGGAACTCTCTGACGCAGAGTGTGGTGGAGGCTCCTTCTTTGGAAGCTTTGAAACAGAGGCTGGATGACCATCTGTTTGCTTTGAATGCAATTTTCCTGCTCCTTGGCAGGGGGTTGGACTGGATGACCCATGAAGTCTCTTCCAACTCTATGATTCTATGTATTTATTTTCTTGGTGCAGTCAGGCTGCTTGATTTTTGTCTCTCCAAAAAAAAAAAAAAACAGGAATGGCAGGCCATCTCACTATGCATCTTACATGGACTTTGCAACTGTAAGTGCTGCAAAGGAAATCCAAATGAAGTGCTGGGGAGAAGGTCTAGTTTAGCTCAGGCAGAAGGAATAGCTTTCCCTGGATCCTAATGCAAAACAAACTCCTGAGCCTCAATTTTAAGTGTTGCATCAAAGCAGAGGAGTAGTTGCAGAATGCAAAACAGAGGAGCCTCCTCCCTCTCCCCCCCCCCCCCCCTCCTTCGCGAGTGTTTCCAGGGGAAATGAACCCTTTTCTTCTCCAGGGTTCATGCAGGGAGAAGGAGGACAGGCATGCCTCCTTCCTTAGGGAGACCAAAACAAAACCTAAATACAAATATTCCGAGATTCCCAGAGCATTGTGTGAGCGCTTTCTCTCTCTCTTCCCCCCCCCCCCCCCCCCCCCAATTCCTCCTATTTATCGATTACACAAAAGACAAAACCCAGCAGGGACTGCTGCATTGCAACACACGGCTTTTTCCTCGTCTCCACCTTGAATTCGGCAACTCTACGAGGCGATTCCGAGTCTGGTTTCCCAAAGCGAATCCTAAAAGGACGCTGGAAGAAGCAGCCTGGCCCTCCTCCTCCTCCTCCTCGCCCCCCGCCCAAAGCAAAACGCATCCATGCCGAATCCCCCTCCCGTTAATAAATGAATGGCTCTCCCTCTTTCCTTCCTTCCTTCCTTTCTCCCTCCCTCCCTCCCTCCCTCCTGCGCACCAACCAACCAGCCAACCCTCTCCTCCTTCCAGCCCTGGCTCGCAACAAAAGCCCCGCAAAAAAGCCAGAGAGATGGGCCATGATGATCCCCCACGAACACAGCAGTCGTCGCCTTCTCTGCCTCGACCGGCAAAACACACACAAGAACTTCCCCCACTTTCCATGCAAAGGAACAATGGGAAAGAGGAGGAGGAAGAGGAGGAAGACCCCACAATAACAGGAATGGGGATACCACGCAATTCAGTCGATGGGGGACGAATTGAATGGCCGGATTGCGCGAAAGGGCTCCCCTTTCTGCTCCTTGCACTCCTTTGCTTCCAAACACAGCCCAGACCCCCATTAAGCCCTCCCCGAAATGGCTTTTCCAAGTCCAGAAGCCCCCACATCCCTATTAAACCCCTCACTGAATACCTCATTGGGGGTTCCCAGTCCAGAGGCCCCATATTCCTATTCAAGTCCCTATTGAATATCTCATTGGAGTTTCCCAGTCCATATTCTTAGTCAACCCCCAATTGAATACCTCATTGGGTTTTCCTAGTCCAGAGACCCCCATATCCCTATAAAACCCCTTACTGACTACCTCATTGGAGTTTCCCAATCCAGAGGCCCCCTTATTCCTATTAACCCCTATTGTATATCTCTGGGTTTTCCCAGTGCAGAGCCCCCCATAGCCCTATTAAACCCTCTTTTGAACACCTTATTGGGTTTCCCAGTCCAGAGGGCCCATATTCCTATTAAACCCTCTATTGAATACCTTATTGGGGTTTCCCAGTCCAGAGCCCCCTTATTCCCCTTAACCCCCTATTGTATACCTTTAGGTTTCCGCAGTCCAGAGGCCCCTATGTCCCTATCAGACCCCCTATTGAATACCTCTTTGGGTTTTCCCAGTCCAGAGGCCCCTATATCCCTATTCAAACCCCTATTGAACACCTTATTGGGGTTTCCCACTAGAGTCCCCATATTCCTATTATATCCCTTATTGGGTTTCCCAGAGCAGAGGCCCCCATATCCCTATCAAACCCCCTACTGAATACTTCCTTGGGTTTCCTAGTCCAATCCTCTCCCACAAGAACCCCTTCCCTCTCCCCAGTTAGGACCAGCCCCCCATTAAACACACACAGTGCCTCCCTCCCTCCCTCCCCCCTTCTCCTCCTCCATAATGGCTTCCCTCCTATTGATCAAGTCAAGGAGCCCCTTCCTCCTCCCCGCCTCCTTCCTCTGTCTTACCTCATGTTGCTGCCCTAGGTCCGGGCGGGGGGCGCCTTCCCCCCAGGCCCAGCTCCTGCCTGTCCTCCTTCCTCTTCCTCTTCTCAATGGGAGCGGGAGGCCAAAGGAGGAAAAGGAGCGGAGGCAAGGGTCCCTCTCTCTCTCTCTCTCCTTCCTTCCTTCCTTCCTTTCTCTCTCTCTCTCTCTTTCTGCTCAGGCGCCAGCCAGTCCCTGCCTTGGCAACCCTCCCTCCGCCGGCCACAGCGGGGAGTCCGAAAGGAAGGAGGGAGGGAAGGAGGGAAGAAAGGAAAGAAGAGCGCGGAGGGAGGGAGGGGAGAGAGAGGCGACCCTCGAGGCGCCGCGAGGATTACGCGGGAGAACCCCGGCTTTCGGGGCGGGGAGGGGAGAGGAAGGGGAGAGGAGAAAGAAAGGAAGGAAGGAAGGGAGCAAGGCAGGCGGGCGGGCGGCGGAGAGACCGGCTTCTCAGGGGGAGGGGAGGGGGCTGCAAGGCGAGGGAGGGGCCAGGCCTCCGGAGCAGGCGCGCCGAGGGGGCGGGGCCAGGGGCAAGCCGCGCCTATTGGACCTGCTCTGCATTCTCCGTGCATTCCATGCGGGATCTCAAAAGGAGGGGGGGAGGGGGCGCCCAGAGGTGGGCTCGCCCAATCCGCGCGGGAGGGGGGGAAGCAGGCTCCTCCGCCCGGCGTTGCCACCGCGATGAGCACGCGCTCTCGCGCCCCCCCTGCCGGCTGCTCTCCGTATTGCTTCCCTTTTTTTGCGCACTACTTACCTAGCCGCGGGTCGGTCAGTAGGTACACCGTGCTGCTCACGTCCCTCCTGACTGAGCGCATCTGCACCGTGGAGTGTGCACGCAGCCTTGGCACTGCTCCATCTGCCGTGGAATCCATCGCAGCTGCGGTGTGAGGAGGCACACCGGCACTCTTTGGAAAAGGAGGCCAAATTCTTTTAAAACTACAGTTAGTCCCCAAGTTACGAACCAGATAGGTTCTGTGGGTTGGATTTGTGTGTAAGTCGGAACAGGTACATTTTTTAAGTGTAACTCCAGCCATATATGTATAATATATTTATTTTTAAAAAACACTTTTATAATCTTTAAAAATATGTATTAGTCTATTCAGGCATGTAGCCGGGGGGGCTTGAGGGGCTTCAGCCCCCCCCCCCGAAATTCTCATGGTGGTTCGCGAAAAGGCCTCACTGGTGCATTATTTAAACTGTTATGTTTATTCATATCATGATCTGATCACCATACTCAATATATCCCATATGCATGGGGGTATTGGGGTAATGATACAAAAGGTTGGCTAGGCTAGACCCTCTTTCACTCAGACTCAGCCCCCCCCCTCACCCCCCCGAAACCCCCCCTGAAAAAAATTCAGCCCCCCCCCCCGAAACAAAATCCTGGCTACGGGCCTGGTGATTTTGGTTGTTCATTCGTTCAGTCGTCTCCGACTCTTCGTGACCTCATGGACCAGCCCACGCCAGAGCTCCCTGTCGGCCGTCACCACCCCCAGCTCCTTCAAGGTCAGTTCAGTCACTTCAAGGATGCCATCCATCCATCTTGCCCTTGGTCGGCCCCTCTTCCTTTTACCTTCCACTTTCCCCAGCATAATTGTCTTCTCTAGGCTTTGCTGTCTCCTCATGATGTGGCCAAAGTACTTCAACTTTGTCTCTAGTATCCTTCCCTCCAGTGAGCAGTCGGGCTTTATTTCCTGGAGGATGGACTGGTTAGATCTTCTCGCAGTCCAAGGCACTCTCAGCACTTTCCTCCAACACCACAGCTCAAAAGCATCGATCTTCCTTCGCTCAGCCTTCCCTAAGGTCCAGCTCTCACATCCGTAGGTTACTACAGGGAATACCATGGCTTTGACTAGGCGGATCTTTGTTGCCAGTCTGATGTCTCTACTCTTTACTATTTTATCGAGATTGGACATTGCTCTCCTCCCAAGAAGTAAGCGTCTTCTGATTTCCTGGCCACAGTCTGCATCTGCAGTAATCTTTGCACCTAGAAATACAAAGTCTGTCACGGCCTCCACATTTTCTCCCTCTATTTTCCAATTGTCAATCATTCTTGTTGCCATAAGCTTGGTTTGGAATAGGAGGCTAAAAGATATTGACAAGCTGGAATGTGTCCAGAGGAGGGTGACTAAAATGATCAAGGGTCTGGAGAACAAGCCTTATGAGGAGCGGCTTAAAGAGCTGGGTATGTTTAGCCTGTAGAAAAGGCTGAGAAGATTCATGATAGCTATGTATAAATAGTACATGAGAGGAAGTCATAGGGAGGTGGAACAATGGCTTCAAACTACAAAAAAGGAGACTCCATCTGAACATTAGGATGAACTTCCTGACTGGGAGAGCCGTTCAGCAGAGGAACTCATATATGTATTGTAATCTTCTCTGAGTCCTTCCAGGGAGATAAAGGGGAATATAAATAAAGTGTATTATTATTATTATTATTATTATTATTATTATTATTGAGGACCTCCTTGCGCCTCTAGGCACAGCAACTGCTTCCCTCCTGGGTGAATCTATGTTGTAGCATGACAATAAATAAAGAACAACATTTTGAAAAATGGGAACTCCAGACAAGAAACAATCAGGGGCAGCTAATCACCTCTCAACAAAGGATTCCCCCAGGCAGTAAGAAGCTCCAGACCTTGAAAATTGCTTGGCCATTAAATGGCAATCAAGGTGGCCAATTGCTACATTTACACCTACCTCAAACAGACAAGAGTCTTTCTCCCACCCTGGACATTTCACACACACACACACACATTACGATCAATGACCAGCACCAAAATATGTACAAACGTCAAAATAAGAAGGCATTAAGAAACAATGTCAAAAACAAAGTTAATAGTTTTTTAAAATATTGTTCTTTATTTATTGTTATGATTTTTTAATTGTAGATGAATGCAGCATGACATAACTTTAACTGCCATGGCTCCATGCTATTGAATCCTGGGAGATGTAGTTTTACAAAGTCTGTAGTATTCTCAACCATAGAGCACTGGTGTTTCACCAAACTACAACTCCCAGGATTCCATAGCCATGGCACTTAGAGTGGTAGCCATATGCATTCATTCTGCAGTGTAGACGGACTGTATACCTTTGTATGTAGGCAAAGGTATAATTGTCAGCGCAGACTAAAACCCATACAGAAGTACTTATTCTGAGTAAGCCCCTGGTGGCGCAGTGGGTTAAACCCCTGTGCTGGCAGGACTGAAGACCAACAGGTCGCAGGTTCGAATCCGGGGAGAGGCGGATGAGCTCCCTCTATCAGCTCCAGCTCCTCATGCGGGGACATGAGAGAAGCCTCCCACAAGGATGATAACAACACCAAATCATCAAGGCGTCCCCTGGGCAATGTCCTTGCAGACGGCCTATTCTCTCACACCAGGAGTCACTCCTGACACGACAAAAAAAAAAATTCTGAGTAAAACATGTGTCCAGTTTATAACTATGGAAATAGGTTGCACACACGCAGGCAGTTATTACATGTGATACAGGGTGGCTATCTGCATGCAAGGCTGAGTTTAAGAGCTGCCGGCTGTGAGGGTTACCAAGGTCACGTGGACTGCATATATTACCGCTGAAGCTTCTTGTTACTATTCAGTTCTCCCTACAGCAGAGTTGCCTTGAATTCCTTATTATTAGCTGTTCCGATTGTTTTTTCTGCTTGCCTTGCACCTTGGAATTCGATCTGCGTTAGCACTTTCTGAACAAATTCTTAGCATTCTCCCCTTGCATTTAGTTGCAGGAATATTTTCTGCACCTACGTCTATCCAGTTAACACCACATCATGGCAAATAGGATTCTTGTTTCAACTCCACTAGGCTTGGCTTAACTTCTCTATCACAGTTTGTTGAGAATGACACGATAAACTATGTGGGGAAAAATACACTTCTATCCCCGTGTTTAGAATAAACATGCCACATTTCCTCAGTAATGAAAAACATTTAACAGGAACTCTCAGGAACAGCTATACGGCTTATTATATGTATATGTACCTGGGGTGCATCTTCTACACTGCATACTTAATGCAGTTTGATATCACTTCAATACTACAGAATCATAGGAGTTATAGTTTTGCAAGGTTGCAAAGAGTGCTGCACCAAACTACAGCTCTCATGATTCCATAGCATTGATCCATGGCAGTTATTGTTGGAAATAGCAACTTTCTCAAGCCTCCACTAGTGATTTGTTATGTATATAATTCAGATTGATTACTGTCTTGTATATGTGCATATTGGTATGCATTTTGACCTTAACGCATTGTTATGGGAGGGGCGGCAGACCACGTGATCAGGTCTGGGCTTGTTCAGGGCTCAGACTCTCTTTTAGGACACTGTTCAGTTTAGACTTTAGTAGAAAAGTGTGATTCAGACTTCAGTGCAGGAAATGTATACTTAGAGACTTCAGTAGAAATAGATGTATGTTTTAGAAGTCAGCAGGAACAGAGCACGGTATAGACTTTATAAGAATGATGCCCGGTGTTACCTACACAGAGAAACTACCATATATTGCGGCATATAAGACAACTGGGTGTATAAGACGACCCCCAACTTTTCCAGTTAAAATATAGAGTTTGGGATATATTCGCCATATAAGACTACCCCTCTTCCAACGCACACCAAATAAAAATGTAAAAGCATCAGATTTGATTTCAATATGGTAATTTTCCTATTACTGTACCTCCTTCTTTGCCTCTCAGATCTTGCACATGTGCACTTGCACCGGTTCACTGCAGTCTACAGGAGTGAGATCTGAGAGGCAGAGGAGGAGGTCAGACAGGTAAAATAGGTGTGTTTGTCTGGGCCCAGAGCCACTCGAGGGTGGGAGAAAAATCTCTTGTCTGTTGGAGGTAAGTGTGAATGTTTCAATTGGCCACCTTGATTAGCATTTAATGACCTAGCAGTTTCAAGGTCTGGCTGCTTATTGCCTGGGGGAATCCTTTGTTGAGAGATGATTAGCAGTCCCTGATTGTTTCTTATCTGGAATTCCTCTGTTTATGAGTAACAGGGCATGTTTTTATCAAGATGTTATGGCATCAGTTTTCAAAAAGTTGTGACTTCTAAGGTCATCCCTAAGGACATTAAATCTCCAAAAGGTTCTGGAGATTTCCATTTTCCAAACTGCATTAATAGTACAGTTTAGATGCATCT